TGTCAGACCCTTTCACTTTGTTTTTGATTCGGAACTACAAAATGGATTACTAAAGAAATCTTCAGAGTTCACACGGCTAGCGTAGCACTGAATTTAAAACAAGAATTAAACAAGTTAAACAGGGGGCCATGTCAACGGTTTACATTTTCCATCATGGGAGAAGGGCTGAGTTGCTTATGTCTTTGTATTCTTTGGCTTTACAGAGACAATGAAGCCACAGGAGTTTTTCCAAGCTGTTCGAACACTGTCCCATTTGCCATCCTTCCTTCTTTGCTTTTCTTACATCCCTCTCCCAGCCCCACTCTAATCCCACCCCTTAAAAAAAAAAAAAAAAAAAAAAAAAGGTTGGGGGGGAGAGCTCTTCCCTGAAAGAGCTAATTCCTGACTAGAAGCTTATAGTTCTATGGGTTCTGCATATTTTAATCAAAATATTTTAAACAGTTGAACACTCCTATTTAAAGCTCTACTCCGCTACACAAAGGCTGAGCTCATAAGCAAATCTATGTAGATGAATGATAAGTGACCTGAAAAACAGGCTCTTTATGTCAGCAGCTAAGGAAAGCAGAGGCTAGGCAGACTGGAGTACCATTTTCATCATTATTTTCCTTACAAGAGTGCTGCTTTTTGTCTACTTTCTACTTTGGGATGGAACAGTTTAAGAATAAAGTTTTCGTAAAATCACCTTTCTAAAAAAAAAAAAAAAAAGAAAGAAAGAAATGTCCTTTTTGCTGAGGGTCTAGTCCATATTTTCTTTCCCTGCCACTCCCAATCCTATGACGCATCACTGCAGTCATGCTGGGATCTCAGACCGTCTCCCATTAGGCAAGAGCTCTGGGAAACATCACACTAAGGTAGATGTCACACTAAACCTCTTGGGAGCTACCCAGAGCACTTCAGAGGAAGGCAAGGTACCACGGGTTTAGTTGCTCCAACTGCAAAGTCCCTCCGAGGATAATTACCGCACTGATCCACCAACCAAAGGATTTCCCTCAGGAAATTTACAGACAAGAGGTTTTACAATAAGTAATCCAAATATACTGACTGTGCCGCGGCTCACTCCATCTGGAGAGGCCATTCCAGTCTGCAGTTTTTAGCTGGTCCGGGGTTGATGGTTAATTCACCTGTCCTTCTACTTTGGCCTGGGAGAGTCAGAAACTGTTCAGGAAATTTGCAGTCATTTGCATTTCTTTACATCTGTAGGACAAGTGTCAACAGCTACGCTTTGTGAAAGATTTAGAACCAAGTGCTTAACAAATCATCTTAACCTCCAGCTCCCGTTTCTGAGGCTTGAAGCTATAATTGCCGAGGTTAAAAAGTGCAGTCCCTAGACACACGATTCCCAAATAAATTCTCTTCTCGCCTGAAAAGAAGGTGACCAAGCATGTTGTGAGCTATCACTTCGGCTCCGTCTTTGTGTTCTCCCTGGCTCGGTTGTCCTGTGGAACGACAGTCCATTACCTCTAGTTTATCATCCTGACAAAATGTGAGGAATGTGGATGGGAAAGGACTAACAATTCCACCCCCGGTGCTTTGTGCTTTTTTCTCTCTATATTAAAACCGACAAGATTAACCCAAACGCAAACTGTGGAGCATAGTTCAAGGGGCTATTCAATCAGTGTTGAATGTGCATTTGTTTACCTACAAAAATAAGAATTTCAGACACAATGGAAGGCAGGCTGGCTTATATATGGTATTGAATGGACTGTTCAAACAGCACTATCCATTGTAGTTTATTTTATCAATCTCTGACAGGTCCGTATTTATTCAGAGCCTGACTGTGGTGGGGCCCACGTATTATAGGTTATCTGGATTTTATCCAGCCATTCTTTTGTATCAAGTCAATCAATATCAGGAATTCAGTATTAGGCAGGGAAAAAATGACCTGGGAAAAGCAAAATGCTTTGTTAACTAACTAGTATATGGTGCAAAGGGAACAGTACCCCAGACAGAAGGAATTACTGCTCGGCTGAAATTTCCAACAAAGTCAGTGTAATTCATTACAGAGCACCATACCAACACAGCCTTGCTCACTCGAAAGTGGGTATTTTTTAGAAAAGGCAACTATTCATTGTGCCTGGAAAAATCGTTCTACGTCAGTTAATTGGAAATGAAAGCCAGGCTTTGCTATTCTCTGCCGAGTTGAAAGGGGAGAGGGGAAAAAAGGTGGGGGGTTCAACAACCTAACAGACCACAACTGAGGCCACACTGCCGGAGCCCGTGGCTGCAGCGGGAGTAATCCACCTGGCAGGGTAGTTGATAACGTTTCAGACACAGAACTTCTTTTGATGGCTGCATAGACTCTCAGGGATGAGAGCATCAGACAGTGTGATTAAAGTAGTTATGGAGACGGAGAATTTACAAAGGATTTTCTGGACCCTGCGTCCAAACAGCTGCTCCTGCTCCCTACCGTCGACCACCTGCTAAAAAAGCTGACCTCGGAATGAAACAAACCTAATTACTCATGGCGGCTTCATTACAGATGAATTGTTCCACAGTTCGGATGAACTGGTGTGAAACCTCAGTTGCTCTGATCACCTTCCTGCCACATCATATTCGTGGACTGAAACTTTTCCCTGGAAATCAATATGCAACTTCCCCCAAGAAAACAAGCCCTTGGCACTAGGGGTTTTTATTCATTCTCCAACTTAGAAAAGGCTCTTTCATATCACTCCTCCAGGAAGAAATCTTTCTGATGTCTCAAGCTAGCCTAGCGTTCAGCTGCATACTTTTTTAAGTAGACCTTTTCCAGGGGCAAATTATCCAGTCCTCCAGGCACGCCATTATCATGAGAATTTTAAAAGAAATTCTACTCTTGAGGACGGGAGCAATCATGGCAACCGAAACCTCATCTGTGCAGGCAGGCTTCTCCAAAATGTAGGCCTCCAGCAGGTCTCCAAGTCTGCAGCGGCAGCAGAGAAAAACTGAGGAACCCTCCTCATCAGGACCGTGAGTAAAAACAGCAGTCACCTCCCCCCACCGCAAATACATTAGTTAAAGAGGATAGTAATGTCTGTGGCGGGAACAGTTACTGCTGTACCTCTTCTTCCGAGTAGGTGTTTCTAACCTTCCTCCTGATCACACACCAAGTCATAAGCGGTTAGCACAGAGTTGCACATGCTGAGTTGGCCAATGGATGGATTAATGGGAATGTCTTCAAACAAAATGCAAACGTAAATATTAAACCGGGGCGGGGGGCGAGGGGGAGGCGGGAAATCAGCCTCCCCAAACAATCCGTCGGCGAAAGTGTGAAGTGGAGCGGAGCCGACAGCCCAGGGGAGAGGTGAGGGCTGGCGCCGCGAGCATTGCGCGTGGAAGAGTGACCTCTGTAGGCGCAAAGCGAGCACTGGCTGGCCTTTTCCCGGCCCGCCCAGCCTGGGCTCCCCGCCCGCCTAGCCCGTCCGCCCGCGGCCGCACGCCGGTCCAAGCCCGGCGTTTTCCCGCACCGCCTGGTGCCCCACCATTCCCGACCCACCGTGTAAGGCCGTCACTGCAACTACTTTCTCGGCAAACACAAATCTTACATCGAGGAAAAAGAGTGGTCCATACAAGACCGGGCTGCACGGAAGAAGGCTGCATTAAGTAACTTTTAAAAATGCGAGCCGGGTTGGAAAGTGCCATCCGGCATCATGCAAGAATGTGTTTAATCCGATTTACGGCTGTGGCGTTTCTCGCCCTTATCATGAGAAATTCTTGGTAAAACATGTTGGTGAATTTGAAATTTGCCACTTTTAGAAGACTGGATATAATTCTTTAATTAAAATGTGATCTGTAAATCAATTCCCCGTCTCTGTATTCCTAAATCCATGGCCAACTTGCTTGCCTTCACTTAGGCCACTGGTTTTCCTTCTGATCTCAAACGCTTACTCCAGGAGCCAGCCAAGGTCTCCACACTTTTTCCAAGTTTCTCAAGGCTAAAATTCCATGATTCTGTAAAATATTTTTGGATCTGACTAGAAATGTGTTACAAGAAGGAGGTAAGATGCAAAACTGAATGCATAGGTAAGTAATGAGGCGTCATGGCCATACATGCTCAGGGATGAGTCGCCTTTTCTAAATTCTCAGTGCATTCTATTTTGGTAGCTCACGCTGAAAGTTAATCTCCACAAGGCCTGGCTTTCTCCTGGCTACACTGTTTGGTAAAAACAAGTCAGATTCAAGGATCCCATTCCTGCCCAGGCTCCAGGAGCTGTATTGACTGGGCAGGGACTTAAGCTTTTGAAGAAAGCGTCCTTAAAATCAAGTCAGCTATCAGGACCGCAGAGTTCGGGGCCACAGGTTTAGAAACGAAAGGGGGAGACGACGTGCAAAGGTCTCTCCAGGAGAAACCTAAGGCCGGTCACCCCGGCTGGGAGGAGAGGGCTCGCCGCCCGAGTTCTCTGGCGAAGCTGGCGAGCTCCCCGCGCACACTCGGGCAGGCGGCGCGGAGGCGCGTGGGCTCCGGGGCGCTGCGGGCGGCCGGAGACCGCAGGCTCCCTTCCCCGGGGTGCGCTCCTCTGCCCCGGGCTCACAGCCCCGGCCGGCCCGCAGGGATCGGCCCGCAGGGATCGGACCGCGCTCCGGCGCTCCTCGAGAGCGCAGCATCCCTGCCTCCCTCCGCGGCCCGCCAGCGCCTGCGCGCCGGCCAGCCCTGTTTGTGGCCATGTTCTCCGTCCTCGAAAAGAAGTAGGGGTCAGGTATCGCCATCGGACACTTTCCCGAACGTGACACCCGAGCTGCCAGGGTTTGTTTTTTGTTTTTTTGTTTTTAGCGCCCGGGAGCTCATGGGGAGAGGAAAGCGGGGAGAGCGCCCCTTAGAACCGGCGCTCCGGCTAGAAAGCCGAGGGAAGAGTTCCATCAAGTAAAATGTGGCGAGGGTTGGGGACAGGGAACTTGGGGTGAGGGGAACGGGGGTTCCAGAAACAGAATCCGAGGCCGCCGCGGCCCAGCCTTTCCTCCCGCCCGGACGGCGCGACGCGGCGGACCCCAGGCGGGGACCGAGAGGGATCGCGGACGCCACTTACTTGGAGTTCGAGGAATTCCAATAGATGGGCTCTAAAACTATCGACCTGGAAATCGCAGTTCTGCATAAAACCATCAAAACTCCCCAGCAGTACTTCCACACGGAGTCCCTCCTGGCGGCCATGGCCAAGCCGCTCCCAGCTCCGCACGCTCCGGACGACGGAGGGACTGGGCGCGGGCCGGAGCCCCAGTCCTCCGGGCAGACAAGGGGGAGACCGCAGGCAGCTCCGGGGCGCGCCGAGCGGCTCCAGCCGGCGCCGAAGTCGGGGGCGCTCCACTCGGAGCCCTCAGGGCGCGGGGCGGGAGCGCACGCGCAGGGCGCGGCGGCGCAGCGGGCTCAGGGCTCCGGGGCGCCGCGCCGGACGCAGCTCTGACGGCAGGCTCCCGTGCGGCTCCAGGGTGCCGGGCGCGGGCTGCAGGGAGGGCGCGCGGCCGGGACACAAAGGCAGAAAGACGACTCGCGCGGGCGGCGGACGCTGCGCTCCGAGCGGACCGCCTCGCACTATAGATCCAGGGGGGCGGGCAGCGGCCCGAGCGCGCGGGCGCAGCGTCGGCGCGGTTCCATGTCCCGGGGCTCGGGGCGCGGAGCGGCGAGGGGCGCCTCCAGGCGCGCGGGACCCTCCTCTATCTTCGCAGCTCCCGGCCCGCGGAGCAGGCAGGAGGGGCTCGGTCCCCGCCACGGGCGCGGACGCGCACGGGCCTTTGTGTGCGGGGAGGGCGCCGGGACCCTCTCTGCGCGCAGCTCCTAGCTCCGGCCGGCGTCGCCGTCCCCGCCGAGGAGAGTCAGCGCGACCGGCCCGCTGTCAGAGCACTATAAACGCGGGGCCCCGCCCCGCATCGCGCAGCCTATTGGCCCGCCGCCCAGCAGCCGCGCTCCGGTTGGGCGACCAGCCCGTCCGTCATCCGCCCCCGCCCGACATTGGGCGCCGCGAGGCGGGGCGCCGGCTGACAGGTGAGCCCCGCCCCCGGCCCCGGGCGGTGGCGCAAAGGGAGCTCAGCCTGGGCAGCCAAAGAGGGGAGGGGTGGCCAGCGCGTGCACCGGCGCCCCTCCAGCGGTGGGGCGGGGACACAGTTAGGGACGTCCGGGAGGGGAGCGGGAGCAGCGGGGGCCACCTGTCCCCGCGCCCAGCACGCGCCGGCATTGCCCGGCAAGTGTTCTAACTTCAGCAGAGGGACGTCGAGGGCGAAACTTTCCCTGCGGAGCGGAAGGCCGTGGGTTTCCCGCGGGTCTTCCTCCTCTCGGCGGAGCGTCTCCGTTGCAAGCCGGACTCACACCCCCGCACGCGCATCCCTTCCCTGCCCCTCGTAGGTCTCGGGGCGATGAGTTCCACACCTGATTTCGGTTCCTAACCTCAGCTGGGGCCCGACCAAAGTCAACGGGGCCTTAAGATGCGAGACGACTCCCGGCGACGTGGCTGCCGACAATGGGGCGCAGCCGTCCCGGCCCCGCACCCTCCACTCCTCGCTCCCCGGGAAGGCGGCACCTCCAGGCGTTCCCCGCGAGTGTCGCTGGCACACCCGCGCCCGCCGCGGGACCTTCTCTGGGACACACTCACGCCATCCCAAGGTGACCGGGAGTTTAGGGGTGACGGTGACAAATAGCGCCCAAGTGGAGAGGTGGCAGGAATTCCTCACTCTGGTTCTCGGCAAGTGCTTGCCCAAAAGAACGCCTTGGACGAGCGCCACCGCTTCGACGGCTTCCACGGACCCACAGCGCCCACTAGCGGCCGGCCTGACCTCCCTGCGCGCGAGCGCACCAAGGCCCGCCCACCCGCAACCAGAAACCCAGGAACACAACCGCACAGAAAGTCCAGAGCAGAAGCTCCCAAACTCACCAGCAGCACGGAGAATTCGGCGGCAGTAAGGCAGAGTACTAATGTACAATTCACAGTTTTGCGGGGGGGAAAAAAATAGCGTATACCCACAACATGCTTAAAAAATCCAGTCTACTCCAGGATTTAATGTTTCGAAAGCAACGAAGCAGACGGTATTCCTACAAACTATATTTCTTTAGCTAAATTATCTACTAAGCTAAATTAAAGAATATACATTGTAAAACATCTCATTTAGATACCAGTGTTTCTCTCACTCTTCTTTATAACGTTTCCAGATTTTTACATCTTATTAAGTATTCCTTTTTGGAAATATTAAACATAAGCTAATGTACATTTCAACTGGAGTGTTGACATTTTGTTAGGACTAGTTTGCTAGCACGCTGGAAAATACTAAGGCACGGGAGTACTGAATACATTATTCATATTATTCCAGGTAAACCTTTGAGAAGAAAACAACTTGATTTTCCCGAATTGCTATTTTAAAAAGCCTCCAACGTGAGAAAATTTTTAAGAAAGGTTCAAAGATTGCAAACCGATTTGAAGTCATGGCCAGATTCCCACGAGGACTAAAACACCAGGAAGGGGCAGGTACTATCATTTATAACTTTCTCACAAGGGTAAAAAAAAGGAGTGGTTTTTAGTAAGCCTAAACATTTAAGGAATTCGTTTGAAATGTAAGGGTAGCTTAATAATGTCCTACAAGAACTAAAACGGAGTATCTCAGTACTAGGTTTCATAGTTGGTAAACTTATTTTGTGAAGTTTAAGTTGTGACCTCTTAGCTCCTACATCCTCTCTCCAAGTAAACTAGAGGAAATAAAGGAAATTTGCATTGTCTGAAAATAACCCCGACTTCCATTTTTAGTAAATCAGATATTCACACACCCAAAAAGCATTTTGCCTTGGGGAAAATGTAAATGTACATGTAAAAACGGCCTCTCTTTTAAACAAACTGTGCATCTGACCAAAAAATAAAACCCCACACCAAGATTCCTACTTTATAACTTGAGCGTGAATATTCATGAATTTACTTTCAGCAAATAAAGATTCATTTATCTGTAAAGACTAGGTAAAAAATCAACAGTAACAACTTCAAGATGATAAATGTTCCACTACTGTTGAGATGGTCAAGTTCAGTTCTGTTAACCCATGAATGAGCTAGGGAAAGAGTTAAGAACTCCCACCCACCCCAGTCAAAAATCCCTGTTTAGGGGCACCTGGGTGGCTCAGTGGTTTAAGCCTCTGCCTTCGGCTCAGGTCATGGTCTCAGGGTCCTGGGATCGAGCCCCGCATCGGGCTCTCTGCTTAGCGGGGAGCCTGCTTCCCTTCCTCTCTCTCTCTCTGCCTGCCTCTCTGCCTACTTGTGATCTCTGTCTGTCAAATAACTAAATAAAATCTTTAAAAAAAAAAAAAAAAAATCCCTGTTTAACTTTGGACTCCCCCCAAAACTTAACTAGCCTGTTACAGAACTCTTACCAATAATGCAAAATCAACACATATTTTGCTGTTATATGTATATTCTGTATTCTTAAAGCTCAAGAAAATGTTAAGAAAATCTAAAGCAAATACACTTGCAGTACTGTATTATATTTATTGAAAAAGTAATCTGTGTGTAAATGGAACCACACAGTTCAAACCCAAGTTGTTCAAGGAGCAACTGTAATTAAAAGCATCTCAAGCCATTTGTGTCTACTACTGTACAGAGGCCAGGCAAAAACTGTTACATCAGCATGTACAAAACAAAATTGAAATTTTAATGCATGCCAAACCAGAAAGAACCTATTACATCAGTTTAATACATATTTGTATTTGGACTTCATTTTATGACTGAATAGTCAGGAGAAACGTGCTAATTTCTGAAAATCCATAATTTTACCAGCACAGCTTCACGCACACATTAAAAAAAAAAATGAAGTTTTATCTCAGCTACTTAGTTACTTCAACTGTTTCTAAAGTTAAGGAAATTTCTGAAAGTTAGTAAAAATTGGGGGAATTTCATATAGTCAATAAAAGTTGATAAAAATGTTTGAATATATAGTGAAGTAGCAAATGTAAAGCTAGGTAATTTCAGTTGAAAAAATTAAGATGGCAACCAATTTTGCCCTACTAAGTGCACCTTACTAAAGTCATTTCTGTCACCCTTTGAATTCCTACGCATGCTTTGGTCTTCATGGTTGTTTCTTGTACAGTAATCCATTAATTCTTAGATGTACTTCAAAAGACATCTTTAACATAACTTCTGTAAAAACAAAGAACCAAAAGCCTTATCTAAATGTAACATTACAGAAAAATTACTGGAATTAGATTTCATGTTGAGCAAATGTTGTCCAAGCCATGAACTTTTTATGTAGCTAATGTTTCCTGGCATCGCATGCACTTTATTTCATAAGTCACTGAAATTTTTAGAACTCTTCTGCAAATGTACTGCTCAAATTCCTCAAAGGAAAGACCTTTTAACACAAAAGTAAAGTAAATCTTTTCTCAGTAAACTTTGCCGTACACTCTGGCACCACCTACTTCTACAATTTAGCTTACACACTAACACATCTTAAATTAGCATCTACTTATATTTGTAAGTTTGGTAGGGACAGTATTAATTACGACATTGAACTCTCAGTCAAAAGAACATTTTTCCCTTTGGGAAGTTCGGTGACAACTGACCTTATCGACTGTAACAATATATTCCTTATGGAACTAAAATACCACCATTTTCCACTACAGTAGTCATTTAAATCTCTACGTCATAATCAATCATTGCTTTTATATTACTAATGCAAAAACGGCATATGTGTAAAGAGTACAGTTATGGCTCCAACTAACTTGAGCACTTGGCATGAAATCTCATTTCCTTATTTGCAAACTAACAGGTTTTAGAGAACGGGCCAAACTCCTCTCACCCTTCCAAATTGGTCTAGGTAGTTTAGAGATAAACAGGTTAACAGCTGTGCAGTTTTGGTTTTACCATTCATTACTACTAGTACTCTATAACCTCATTCTGTATAAGATTCCCACTTTCTGGAATGACAATATAGACACAGTATTATAAGTTAAATTCTGCTTCAAACATATAAGGGATACCGCTGACATAAAAGGGATATCATATAAGGGTATCACTGACAACAATCATAAGATACATACAGTAAGATATTCAACAGCACTTAGAAGAGGCTGCAATTATGTATTCCTCTGTTTAAATTCCTTGCTACTTGTTGTTTTTCACCCCATACGTTTCCATAAGCCTGGAATATGAGGAAGAAAACAATCACCCAAACATATACAAAATAATAAGCCTTTTTTATTCTAATGCCCGTAAGCCAGGTTTAGAAATCACCAGCTGTACTGACACTCTTCAAAACACAACACACACCGTGCACCCCCCCATTAGAAATTTCCTGAGTGAGAGTGAAACTGCTGGACCATTGAAAATTTTACTCTTTAACTTACTGGCTTCATAGTAATAGGTCCAAAGATATATGTAAAACACAACTATTCA